GCACGTCAATAAAGCAACTTTGTTTAAACTACTAAAAGTCTAGATACATCAGAATCCTTTGCAGTAATATACATTGACTGGATCTCATGGTCCTTGTAGCTATGCGACCTCAGGTTTCATGCCATAAAATTACGAATTAAAGATATCATGAGTGTCTGCTGTCATAGAACATAGTAAAGCCTCGCCAATAAAAAAACTTAATTTACCCTGTTTATCCTTAAGTCGACTTGGAATGAATTAAGACGTTTATATGCATACATTTGCAGAATGGCATTACCGACAGAGACAAGGGAGACTGAAGTGGCCGTTTTCGAATTATCAGGCGTCATCGGCCGGCCGTTCCCAATCCCGAGTCTGCGACCTCCGAGGTTCAAACTCCCTTTCGGTTGGTTAGAACTCCAACTCCCTAGCCACTGAGCCACGGAAAGAGGGGACAGTGGAGGTTGGACTGACCAGTTCTCACGCATTAACCGTCGTCATTCGACCGTACTTTAACTAAGTGTTCAAATCAGAACCCCAGACTCTCCAGAACCGGGTCTGGAGTGCAGTGGACTAGTAAGAAGGAGCTTATCATTCCAGACTCCCTCGTCTTCGTCTGCACTCCTTCAGCCCTACTGTCTTCTCTACGTCACTTTGGAGGCAAGCTTCTGGTAGGGCGCTGAGGCAAAACGAAATTATCCCGTTGCGTCATACATACAGGACGGTGTAGCTTCACCTGCATATGAATGTACGTATATTTATACGTACTGATTCCTTCGAAAAGCCTGCCCACGAGAAAACGTGTCTGACTTTTTAGAAGTACAGTAGATGTGCTAACTCATAAAACGTTAGCCGGAATTGTAAAATGCGTTTCCGACTCGAAAAGACTACTTATGTGGGGTTATTATAGTAATTACCGTACGGCATAATCTCAAGATATTCCAGTTACTTGGGGATACCGGCTTTTGAATGAACTTCTTTCCGGATGTTTGCAAAAACCAGATCAGCGGCGATACATCCGACTTTTGAACTCCTAAAATCCTGCTCGAAAACGCGTTCGACACCTGATCTTTGAACAGGCCTTTCCTGGTCTTAAAAAAGCTCATTAGTCAAATCTTTTTAAAACTGAAGTTTACCCTTTCTTCCGGTATGACATTTAACTAAGACGTAATTTACTACAAAATCAGCAAAAGAGTGAATGTTGCCAAGTCTAACTTTAGCCCTGACCCGAATCCTAACCCTAACCTTAACCGCCACCCAACCCTACCCTACTCTCACCCTAACACTAACCCTAACCCCAACCCTAACATTAAACGTAAACCTAAACCGAGCACTTACCCTAACCGTAAACTCAATTCTCAGCCTAGCACTCAACCAAACCCTGAAGGTGATCTTGCCACTAAACCAAGACATCAGGTTGCCCCTTTACGTTCTAGCTTTGTCTACTTTCCCCTAACGATTTTAGCATTCTCCTTCGGCTTACTTTACCTACAATTCCCACATTGCGCTTACACTTGAGACCAGGACAGCGTAACCGATCCCTACCTAAACCTTTTCACTTCACGAGGTCTTTCACAGCGAAAGTCTCCATGCCGTAACCCAGCTCCCGCGCAACTGACTGCTGTCCTCGGATTGTTGTGTTCTTCACAGTGCACTACCGACTGACCACCTGCGTGCAACTCCTACCTAGCGTGAAGAAAGACGCTGGAAGGGAACCTAGCGACTGAGCGATTTACAGTCTGTGTCCTTGGTTCGAATTCTTGGACGAAAAATCTAGGAAACATTTCTGCCGAATAAAGGGCGAGGCAGGCCGAGTCTCCCTGGTAAACACGAACCACCTTTGCTAGTGTCGTCATTTTCTACCATTTCCAGCCCATGAGGAACTCGTGTTTCATGTAACCACTGATGCGTATAGGCCTGTCGCCAGTCATTTTACCGACTACTGTGGCGTTAGGTGAGACGCCGGCAGAGAAATTATGCAACCTACCGAAGGT